TGTAGATGGATAATGACTGTGTCTTACATTTACAGGCTTTAAATAACATCATTCACAAAAACATAAAGTTTAATAACAATAAATAAAGTTCCCCAATTTGTGGATCATTCATGCACAAGATAGCACCTAAACAAGTTCAAATTCATATGAATTTCAAACGCATGTTTGAAAATTATGGGAACTTATTTCGGCCGTGTTTGCGGCCGGAGGAGCTCAGGGCCGCAGAGAACGTTCATATTTTTAAAAGCAGGCTCAAGACACACCTTTTTAGATTAGCTTTTGATTAGTTTTTACTATTTCATTTTATATATTCTATTTATCTTCTATTATTTATTGTATTGCTATTGCTTTTATTCATGTATTGTGTGTTAGTTCATTTTAGTTTCACATTTTTGTGTTTTACTTATTGTATTGTTATTGTATTGTTTTTAGTATACCCAGTCTTTCCTCTGGAGGAGCCCTCTGCACTGGGAGCGGTGGTCGGCATGGCTGTGGGGGTCGGACTCTTGGACCTGGTGGGGGCCTGGGGCCTCGGTTTCGGGTCTCCTCTAGATCCTGTGTCGTCCCCTGTGGCTACAGGCGGCTCTCTGCTCCTGGTGCAGACGGCTCCTTGGATGACGCTTTTTCAGCTGGTTGCATCCGAACCCTGCCAAGTCTTTCATCATTGTTTTACTTGTGTGTGTGTGTGTGTGTGTGTGTCAGAGAGTGTGCATGGGAGCGTGTGTGTCTTTGTCTGTGGTTTGGGGTGGGTCTGTTGGGTGGTCGGGGGGAGGGGACATGGGCCGGCGGGATTGTTTTTAACCAAACTGTAAAGCACTTTGTGTTGCATCTTTTGTATGAAAAGCGCTTTATAAATAAAATTTGATTTGATTTGATTATTTAGTTTCTTCCCTTTTGCCATTATCATTTTGCAAATTCCATTTGTTCTGCATTCCCTTTAAATAAAAGAATAGCAATAACAAAAACTGAGAAAGTATGAGGAAATAAGTAGATATTTATTTTGTAAGCAATGACAAAATGTATATGCCTGGGGAAAAATGTGTGTCATTAAAGATCAAACAGGTGGCAGACCATCCTCAAACAAGGCAATTGCATTATTATTTTAGTGGCAGTGACCTTAAAATTCTACCCACTCATGATTCATTTCTTAACTGTACTGAAGCTTCAGTCTGATCCAAAATAGATACAGGTCATCTGCAGGTTCTGTAACCCTGAAACCACAGATTTGTCTTGTGTTAAATTCAACAAATGCTAGAATACACCAACAAAAACCTTTTCAGCGTGGCTTTATCTTTGCAGCCACAAGGGGGAGGGACAGAGGCAACTAGTTCAGATAGGACTTTCAGTGGTACCGTATATACAGTACATATTCCTACAACCTGTCTTCAACACAAGTCTATAACCTAATAACAACCTTCCATATCCCTTGAAATATGTATTAGCATGCCCCTCCCTCTTCAATACACACGCATTTAACATGATATGATGGACTTGAAAGAAGTAAAGAAGAAATTGCATCCCTCCAGCCCCATGTACGGCCTACTATAGGCTGCTGCCTCATTCATCTGCATTCAAAGAAGAGGCGTCTTTCATGCACGCTTCAAAACAATTTCCACATCTTAAATAGGGAAATACATTAAAAGATAAAATGAGAAGTAAAAGGAAATTACCTCTGCAGGAATCAAAGAGGATTAGTTGATGCAGATACAGTAGTCTGGCCAATATTAAGCATTGGTGGAAAAGGCACGAAAATTGAATTGCTCAGAGAATGCATTTAATTTTGTAAACATATGCATCAGTTTCACAGATTTGAGAAATAGTCAACGTGTTTATTGGAGCATATATTTGGGAGAAAGTTTGTATAGCAGCTGGAAGGTATCTGACTTAACTGTAGCTTGTGTTGTTTCCTTGGGCAAGACATTTAATTCCGAACAAAGAAGGATGAGAGAGATTGGTACTATTTTTTTTGTTTGATTCAAAGTAATGTACATTTTTGGTATATTTTACCGCTTTAAGTTATTTTGTGTTTTTGAACATGTATACCTTCCAAAAAGCTAAATTTCACCAGGAAGTCATGTGAAAATAACAATAACAATGTGCTGTCATTCACAACATATTGACTTCTCCATTTGAAGCTTGAATGTTTACAATTGTTTTGTGTTCACCTCATCACATATGTCTATTACACCTTAAATATATTGAATTTGAGCTTAATTTAATGCTGTTATTTCAAACATGTACAAATATTCACAGACAAAAAAAGAAAGTACATACTCTGAAAAGGAATTGCTTATACTGTTCCAATTCCCTCACCCCATCTCAGACACATACTGTACCAACAATACTCTTCAACATTACACATGAAGTCAGCAATATGAGACACATACGTACACTAAGACCCGGGCCTGATAAGACACAAGCCCAAAACACTCACTAATCCTATACCTCTGCCTCCTCACTCACTCAGTGCTGAGGGCATCACTCTCCTCGACATACTTCTTCAGCACTTCTTTATTAAATCGTTTTTTAAGTAAGGGTCTAATGTTGGTTAAGACATTTCGGCACCATATGATGAAGGTTTAAGCTCAATAAATGTAAAAACATGATCAATTATGCTATGATACGGTTAATATAATGTTCCCAATGGAAGTCCAAATGAACAGTGCTCCCTGTCTACATTAGAATATCATAATAAGGAGTAATGAGTCCTGGCAGATGTAGGTTAAACGTGGTCCCACTGACAGAAAGCAATCCATAAAGTCGGAGGCACAGGATCTCACTTGGCCTCAGACAGACGGGCTGTGGATAGCTTTAATTTATTAAGACTGTCTTGTGCTGGCGACCATTCAATCATCTAGTCTGAAACAGGCAGACTAATCTCGAACCAGGATATGTCCCTGTCTCTCTAAATCCTTTCTTTCAACTCCCAATACAATTTCTCAGCCCTTTCCAGTTCCCTTTCATGTTGTAAGTGACAGGCTAGGTCCCACTCCACTCCCTCAGATAAGCATCTTGAGTTATTACAAAACACATGACTTCATCAGTTAAAAGGTAACATACAGACAGTTTGGGGTGGATGACATACACAATACCACAAGGCCACTCCGTCTGCAGCCAGAATCTCACACACAATGCATTGAAAATACCAAGGCAATTTATATAGAAAGGCAAACAGGAGACGTGTCAACAAAAAAAGACAGCTTTGTTTGTCAAAGCAGTGAAGTGGAATGATGAAATGAAGTATGTCAAAAAGGTGCATGGACAAATCAATCCAGCCTGGTAAGAGATACGTATTTTGTGTATCTGTGTCAACCCCATAAAAGATTGTTTTTATTGTTTTGTTTTTTTCTGCTGAGCTAAGACAAAAGCATGTCCAATTCCAAATAAGTAGGAGAGGATAGAAGGAGGGCGTGTTCTGTCAACCCAGGGTTTCCTAATCTGAAAAGTGCCCAGACAAGCTCCTGCATTCGTCTCTCAGTAACTATACCGCCACAACTGACTGCTCTGCTGATGCATGTGTGTCTCATGATCAATGGTAAAAGCCAGTTTATTTAGGGACACTGAAGTATAATTTGTATTTATGAGAAAATTAATGAAAGAATGGTTGATTATTGTATGTAGCAGTAACACAATTTCAGGTTGCCATTACTAGTACAGGCAATGATTGCACAAGTTAAAAAAATAACATACATATTTTCCTTGCTCATTTTCATTTGGGCTGGTGAATAAGAGTATGTGTTGTTCTGTATATTACTTCATTTGCTGAGAGCACACTGCAACATGAGTGTGATCATAATGTATGTTTTAATTTGTTCGGCACTTCCTCTGAGGCAGCACTACAACACACTGAGTAGGTGTTGACCTTTTACAGAGAAAGGAAACCTTTGTCTTTCTCCTGGAGAGGGACATTTTAACAATGCAACAGGGAGGACACTGCGTTGTCTACATAAACCAAGTTTACGAAGGTGCCTTAATTTGACCTATGCAGCAAGCGGCCTGTTTTATTATACTTACAACAAGTAAATCATCTGCATGAAGCTAACCGGAAGAGCCAAGGAGTGGCACATACTATAGAGTCCTAAAACCGGCTTAGCTGCACGGTCTTCACATAATGCAACAGTAGCTGCAGGGGATGTAAACAGTATCATTACAGGTTTTACTTATGTTCTAACATGTCTCCATGCTGGACCACATGACTAAATCCACTCACCTTTTACTTTTAGGAGATGTATCTTCTTGTTCTCAATATAATGAAGATAGATCTAGTTGTGACTTAACAACATGCTCACGAACATTTCTGACAGGATTAGGCTATCACTGTACAGAAAGGAATTTTGTCAGTTTTGGTATCAGTAAACTTATAATATTTGAACGATTACATGACTAAAAACAAACACATAAAAATATATGCATGTTGGCCTTTGTTGAAAAGAAAGCAAAGTTGTATTCAATGTATTCATAACTTGAATACGACATGACTCTGAACACAAGACCTTTACTGTTCATTCAATAACTAAACTAATTTATCAAACATTTTCACAATTTGACACTTTAGAGCTACTTTGTTTGAATAACTTTGTGTCAGAATTGAATTCACATTCACATATATGTATTTATATATGTATATGTATGTATCCAAATTACATAAATAAAATTGCCTCTTGTAATAAAACAGTCAATGTAATAATTTCTAATTTAATCCAAAATGGCTGAAAGCAAAAGTGCATCATGTGTCCACCTGTATCCATAACAGGCTAATTTTCCATTGTCTAAGATCTCTTTACCTTTTTACCTTTTCATAATAGTTGAATAAATGACTTTGGGGCATGGTTTGAGAGAGTGCGTGTCCTGTGACGTAATAGTTGTCAAACAACAGCACGCGCACAAGCAGGAAGTCACCTGTATTCACTTGAATAAGGAAGGACAGCGATTATTCCCTCAAGTAGGAGACAGGCAGGCTGTTTAACCTGCCACACACAGGACACAGCACCCTCTGGATTATGGTCACGATGACCGCTGCCAACGGGATTCTCAAACAGCATTCAAAACAGAAAAGCTCAAAAAGCCAAGATGTTAAAGTGAATGGACATCAGAAGAAGATCCAGGTCAGTAAGCAACAGCCGGGTGTGACGGAGCCATACACCACTATGTTTGTCCCTGTCGCGCCACATTAGCTAACCGGTAATGTCATAACTTTGTGCTAAATTTTATGATTAACTGCGAGATAATAATGCAAATCAAATGTGTCACTGTTGCCACCAAATGCACAGCTATGATCCAATATGTGTGAGCTGGCTGTGTAAAGATACGGTAGTTATAATAGTCAATTACAATGATTGTTTTAGCGTCGCTCTATAATAATAATAATAATAATAATCTTTATTTGTATAGCACTTTTAAAAACAATGTTTACAAAGCGCTGCACAGTCAGCATGATAAACAATAAAAACAGTCAAAATACAAGGTCAAAATAATTAGATACAGAAACACAAAGAACAGAGCAGAGCAAAACACAAAAGAGACACAACAAAGACAAAGCAGACATTAAAATACAGCATGTGAAGTTTAAAACTAACAGTTAAAAGCTGTTTGATAAAAGTGGGTTTTAAGAAGTGATTTAAAAGAGGATACTGATGGTGCTAGCCTTATCTCCTCGGGCAGGTGGTTCCAAAGCCGAGGAGCCCGGACAGAGAAGGCTCGGTCACCTTTCGTCCGGAGCCTCGACCTTGGAACAGTCAACAGGGACCTGCCCGAGGATCTAAGGCTGCGGGGGGGCTCGCAGGGGGTTAAAAGTTCACAAATATAGCTTGGTGCCAGACCTAAACGAGCTTTAAAAGTAATCAGTAAAATCTTAAAATCAATTCTAAAACGCACAGGGAGCCAGTGGAGGGACGCTAAAACAGGTGATGTGCTCCCTTCTGTTAAAACCAGTGAGAAGTCTGGCTGCTGCGTTCTGGCCCAGTTGGAGGCGGGAGAGGGATTTAGCGTCGAGACCGGAGAGGAGGGAGTTGCAGTAGTCCAGGCGGGAGAAGATGAGGGCGTTGATGACTTTATGGAGATCGGGAGGAGTGAGAATGTTTTTAATCTTAGAGATGGTGCGGAGGTGATAGAAGCAGGTTTGGGTGGTTTTATTGATGTGGGAGCGGAAAGTGAGGTGAGAATCGAAAATGACACCGATGTTACGGGCGGAGGGAGTGATGTTTGAGGACAGGGGGCCGAGGTGGGTTTGGATGTGGGATATAGATGGAGGCGGGTTGATGAGGAGGACTTCTGATTTGGAGGTGTTGAGTTGAAGGAAGTTATGGGCCATCCAACGGTTCACATAGTTAAAACAGTCGACCACAGCAGCCAGACTTCCAGGGTCGTTTGGTCTCAGCGGGAGGTAGATCTGTGTGTCGTCCGCATAGCAGTGGAAGGACACGTTATGACGGGCCATAACGTGTCCTAGGGGGAGCATATAAATAGAAAATAAAATGGGACCTAAAATAGAACCCTGCGGCACACCACAGGTAATGGGGGCTGTTGAGGAGGTAAAATCACCCATGGTGACCGCAAAGGTTCTGATAAGAATGAAACCAACCAGTATCTCTGATGCCAACCCACGTTTTGAGGCAATGCAACGTTTTCCAGCTTAAACTCCTCATAATGCTGATAGTTGCATAGCTTGCTTTCAGATCGCAAAGTTTGATTTGATAGACTACTGTGAATAGTTTTCGTGAGATGGGATCTAAAGCCTGCTCAGTGATTGGTTAATAAAACTAGATTTACAGGTCGAACTTCTACCTGACTTGTCAATCGGGATACTTGAAATAAAACTGAACTATTGTGACACTGATTTGTGCAGAGATAATGTAAATAAATCGTAAACGTGAGCTCAGTGAAGCCATTTGACTTGAGATCAGGGAGTGTCTGTGGCGGAAGGTTCAAGGGTTACCATAGAAACCAGGCACAGCTGGCATCATGGGCAGAAGTGTCAATAGGGGAAATAGGTAATATGTCACTTGTATAAATGCGGTTTTACTTTAGTTTACAGTACATATTTGTGCAACTGTGCAATGATCAGGGTAAGGACCATTACAAACCAGAGACCTATTTGGTCAAAGTTTTATGGGGTCTGTCACCTGCTCTTGTTTCAAGACATGTGGAACATTCCAGGAAAGGTACTTCTCTGATGTAGAGCTGGAGAGACATTCTCAGAAGTAGTCGCATATGTGTTTCTCAAAAGTATCAAGTATCATCAATACTAAAACTAGTATCAAAGCTAGATCATGAAAGTATTGATAGTGGAAGGTTGTTATTTATGTTAAAAATTGCAGGAAAAAATGTTTTATTACCATGGTATTAAAAGTATAAATATAGCAATTTTGATAACTATAATCAAATAAAATAATGTATTAACTTAATCCCTGCTCACCTGCAATGTACAAAACACACATTAACACATTTGCACAAAATGTAAATTTAAAGGAATCCACAATGATGGCACTGTAATCTAATTTTATCTCTTCAAATCATATTTTTTCAAGTATAAAGGTTGAACTCTGTGGCCAAAGTGTGCATTTTTTTAAAGAAAATAGCAGCCTGTCTAATTATTTTTATTGGGGTAAACTTAATATATGACAAATATAAGAAGTTGGGTACCTCAGCTTTAAAGGCAAAACAAGCGTGATTGTCTTATAAAGTACTCCCATAAAAAGTGCGATAATAAACCCCTTTGTATGTTCTTTTAGCACTCCTTAATGATCAATCCCTTTTCAATCTCAAACCTACCTGTGACATTTACAGTACTAATGAAACTCTATTCTTGTTGATATACACTTATAATATGTTACATTGCTGAACTTGGACAACAAGTATACTATTCAATAAACCCTTAAAAAAAAAACTTCTTGACCGCCGCTTATGCATAACCAAAATATTTAACAACACAGTGTTGTCATTTTAAAAAAAGAAAGGGGGTTTGCTGTACACATTCTATTGTAAACCCAGTTATCTTATACAAAACTGCTCACTGTTGCACCGTCTGATGAGTGACCATGGACAATGACAGTGCTCCAATTTGCATCAAAAAATCAAATGCAGATCACATACCATAATATGCACATAGCCATCAAGCGTGTGGTAAAAAGGCTGTTCCCTTGTCAGCTCTCTCCACAAATGTCCACAAATCGACATGCATGTTGTGATGTAACTTTTGTTTGTAGTTTTTGCTAATATGTGAGAATTTTATGCTTACTACTTCCACAACTTAATTTCAAACCTGTCTGCGTTTCTATAAATTCCATTCCATTATCCTGAACCATGTAAGACAGCCGTTTTTTCTCTTGTACAGAAACATGGCCCGGGGATCAGCGTTGCCTCCAGGCAGCCGAGGCACGAGGTGTTTGAGCAGGCGCCCATGTACGTGGCAGTCATGACTTACCTGGGCTTCGGCCTCGTAACCCTTTTTGGCTACTTCAGAGATTTCCTCAGGGCTGTGGGCTTAGAGAAGTGCCACCAGGCTCAGGAGAGAGCAGAGCAGAAGGTAAATTGACACACTCAGGCTCATTGTAGGCACTTGCACTTTTGACATTTTAAACAGAAGTGGATGCATGTCCCTGAGAGTCAACACATTATGTTTTTTTTCCTCCTAATTATTTTCAATTTTATCTTTTATTCTCCATCTTTGCCTCACTCTTTCTCATTCCTCTGCATTTTAAGTTGCCATGGGTGAGACAGGACGCCCCAGAGTATTTGTGAGATGTGCTCAAACCCTAATTAAATCTCAGCGGACCCAGATATTTTTTACAATGCCTTTGGATTGAAGATAACGCTGAAACACTAGCACATAGAAGTCTTTACGCTACCATTAGCAAGTGTTAAACGCTAAATAGCTCAAAGATAAGTTCATAGTAGCTGGTGAAGAGAAAGGGATACATCTTTGTCATTGTGTTAGATTAATCGAGCAGTCACCATTATTGTGTTGCAATAGTTTGTATTCTTACAAATTGAGTTTGTAAAATCAATTGTTTACCATTACTTTGTGTATAAGTGTATGCATACTTAGCATATACTTATTTTATACTTAGAATTTGCCTGGCGCAGCTCTATTGTGATTTTATAGCCAATAAGTGCTCTCTGGTTATTCACAGGATTTTGTGCCTTTATATCAAGACTTTGAAAACTTCTATACTCGTAATCTGTACATGAGGGTACGGGATAACTGGAACCGTCCGATATGCAGCCTGCCAGGACCTGTGTTTGACCTCATAGAGAGAGTTTCTGATGACTACAACTGGACATTCAGGTATTGACTTTTCTCAACACAAATCACATTTATACGGAGCAAAAATTAGGCAAAAAGAAAACTTGAAAGAGAGGTAATGTACTAGGTAAAAATAGGACACTGTAGCAGGTTGGATGCGGTAAAGGATGAAGATGGATTTTGATGTTTTTTTATACAAACTGGGCGCAAAAGTAGGTCAGAGAAAACTACTTTAAAAATCTTTAAAAATGTAGTTATGAACATGAGTGACCTACCTGTGGGTTTCCTTATCCTGAAAAGACATCTGGCATACAGTACATTCCGGTTTTGAAATATCTAGAAACCACATGTAAGGCTCTCCTCTCAATAACCCAGGGCTTGCTGAGTTTGCACATGCAATACATACTTCAATACGTACTGCAGTACATACTTCAATACATACTTCAATACAGGACATTTTCAGTTTGATACAAAGTATTTCCAAAGTATTGGATACAATACAGTTGTTATCAAATTCAGTAACTTTAACCTCATCTCCATTTTGCAAAAAAAGTTGTAAACAGCTTCAAATGTTTCATTTTCTATTGGTTGATGAGTTATTGCATTAAATCTTAGTTATGCTTCTGTTTGCAAACGATTACAAATTATCACCATATCACAATATCCCTCATATAAAATTAAAATAAAATCAACATTACAAAACAAAAAGTATGTATTCTTAAAACGTCAATATCTATCAAAATATATATATATATATATATTATACCACACCCCTTGTATTTAGCACAGTATAGAAAATAGTAACCTGCTGTATAGAGGCTAGTATACCTAATAGAAAGTCATAGACTGTAATGACTTTCTCAAGAACTCTGCAAATGAAGTTCCCGATTTACAACAGCAATTACGCTGAATTGAATGTTGATTGCTTTTCATTTTGTGTAATTTACTCCTCCAGCCTGCAAAGATTGTAAAAGTCTTGCGCTTGTTTACTTCTGCGCAGGTTTACAGGGAAGACCATACCAAATGTGATCAATGTGGGATCATACAACTACCTGGGTTTCGCAGAGAACAATGTGGATTTTCTAAAGACTGTGGCCGAGAAAACACAACAGTTTGGTGTTGGAGTGTGCAGCACCAGACAGGAAATGGGTACGTTTGTGGTTAGTGCTCGATTAACACATACATTCTGAAAATATTGGAGCAAATACCACGAGACAATATACGATTGTGGATAGTGGATACAAAATGTGAAAATCAAATCCAGACTCACCCAAACCCAGGACATATACTGGTTGGAACAAGCCCAGATAATATACTGTATTACAGGAGATTATAGAATAAAGTAAACCCCACACAAACCAGCTTTTAGTTTTAGTTAATTCAAGTTACAATAACATTACCTGTTATCGGAGTGGAGGAATTCACCTGTTAAGCCAGAGATTTTTTATCAGCAAGCCGGATGACGAGAGAAACAACAATTTTTATTTTTATTCATGCTGTGGAGCCAAATCACATTTTTGCATCCAAATGAGACAATCGTGAGCTCTGTTAACATGCCAACCTAAGGCCTCTACAAGTTTTGTAAAGCAAATAATAATTTGTATGCTAGTGATATGATATTAACAAACTTAAAATGTAATATTCTGTTTTCTGTTGTATAACTCTCATACATACATTTGTGATTAATATAATAATATAGTACACTTTTTATATCCTTGAAACTTGATGCTGATGGTCTTTTAAAGAGAAACACATTTCTATTTTTAGAAGTTTTTAGAAGTGAAAGATAATCTTTAGTTACTTTGTTTAAATTCATATTGTTCTATGTCGATGTTAAAACACTCAACATAATTGTATTTAACTTAAATATATTAGCTTCAACATCTAACTGGACATGAAGCCCCATTTGCAATTTCTCAGTCTTAGGTATTACACTCCTCAAATGTTTAATTATCTGTTCGATGCTGCAGCGTACGTTGAATAATTCACCCTTTGTTAAATAATGTACCATTTGGGCAGAAGCTGAGATCATTACACGCTGGTCAGCATGAGGGGAGAGAAATGTACGATTATGACACACACGGACATTAAACAAGATGCGAGATGAATACACGCAATGGAAGTGTTAGAGCAGTAAGGACCAGAAACTCACATTAAACTTGAATGCTTCTTTTCTTGTGAACTCGTTGCCTTTGATGGTTGTAACTGCAATATTAACTGTGCTAATGCTCCATTAGAATAAATACCTTAGATTGCTATGTGACTATGAACACAGGTGAGATTAAACATTAACTAAATTGTTCGTCACATCTGAGGTTGACTGGAGAATTCCAAGAAGAAATACTGATTACAACCAAGATCATTGTGGACCCCAGACCACAAGTTCTAATCTATGTACTTACTAACTTCTGAGATCATTTTTATAGCTTTACCTTTGAGAGCAAATAACGAGATTATGTTTCATTTTCTGAGCATCAAAATGTGTAATATTAAGTGGTTTGATGCAGATACAGATCATATGAAACCTATTCAGCATACTACTAATGTGGTTAAATGTATGGTTTTGGCTTTGATAAGTATTGTGATCATTTTTGACATCCTCTGCTCTATTGTGAATTGAGCAGGAAATACTACAGGAAGTACAATACAATACAATTTACAATACAATTTATTCTTGTATAGCCCTAGGTCACAACAGAAGTCATCTCAGAGGACTTAACAAAACCATTGAATTCACCAACACAGATCAGAGAATCAACAGTTAAAACACATGAAAAATATAAAGCACACACAGAAGAAAATGTCCATACATGTTGTAGAATGCTAAAGTGTCCTGATCATCACCAATCCTTTCTGTTGGACACTAACTGTCCAACAAGACCCTCCTGCATCGACAAGGAAAAACTCTTAAAAAACCCAGTGGAAAAAAGTGAGAAACCTTGGGGAGAACTAGGGAAACCCACAGGGAGGGAGACCCATTTGAGAAAGGGATCCGCTCCTCCGGACGGACAGACTAATGATCTAGGACCTAAGCTAGCTACAGAACGTGGACCAGTGGCCGCTGAACGTGGACAGGTCCGGTGCAGGACTGAAGCACTCCCAGGCGGGTCGGGCGGGGCAGTCCGCAAGTGTAGATGGAAGAGGCCAGGCTCAGAGATCCCGTCATCGTACCATGAAAGTAGTTGACAATCTCTCTCACATAAATATTTAAATATTTACATATATATAAAAAATGATTTAATTACAATCATTATATATTTTTTTGAACGTGATGATATAGAACATTTAGCAAAGGTCTAAATTAGTTGTAACTTTTGTGACATGCTGTTCAATTCATCATTTTCTTGTGTCTTTGTTCATTGACAGCCATTGACTTAAACATCAACATTAAATTTCAGTAACAATGCTCCCGTTTTATTCGCTACAGTCTACACTCATACTGTATCCGACAACAGTTGCTTTGTAATAAGTCATGTTTTTTCAATTCAAGAGCCTCTTCAATTTCTTTTCTGGCTCTTGTGACAACGGCGTGCTGTGCCGTCGATCTGCAGAGGGCAAACTCATTGAAGATGAGCTGACAAAATGGCTCAAAGCACCGGCTGCACACTGCTGCATGATCTCAGCAGTTAGGATGAAAACAAAGCCGAGAGCGCTGGACTCGAAGGGCATGTGATCATTAGTTACATGGCGATGTTTGTCAGTGCTCTCCATACCATCCATTATTCATCCAACTGATTTATTCATATGTTTATTTCTCTTTCTGGATTGTTTTATCTGCCTTTGTGGCCAAGTTTTTAGCTGGCTCATTGGAAGGGTGAAGGAATAACAAGCATTGGTCCCGTGAGGTCTTATTAGGCGTCATTTGTTAAGGCACAGCGAGTCTGGTGAGATTTGTGACGCTATTATTATCATCACCCCCTGTGTCCCTCTACGGTACGTTCATAATCGTTTGAACGCCTAAAATGCAGGTGAAAACAATGTACTTGAGGGTAAATGAGGGATTACTGGGAATCTAACTCCATTGTCAAAGGGGTAGGCTAAATGTATTCAAATACTTACTGCCAATGCAAATATTAGATACCTGTATAATAGAGTCCAAGTAAGTGCGCTAAATATGTCCTTCTTTTGATCTGCTATGAGTCATGTGCGTTGAGGCAAAGTACACAGAGCTGCCAAATATATTTGTAATCATTAACCATTGTCCATTGTATCCTAGAATTTATTGATAAAATGCGATACTGGAACCAATTATGATTACTGTAACCAACTATTTTGCAGGGTGGCATCTAGTGTTGGATATAACTAACAAAAACTTGATTACAGAAGGAAAAAGAAAAAACATACTTCAAGGGACAGTACAGTATATAAAATTCACTATTCATGGCCTAATAAAGTCATTACTAATTCATTGAAACTTTTTGTTGCCAGAATCTTCCCGCCTACTTTTTTTGCAATTCTTTTGTTTTGGTCTGTAGTCTGATGCACTGAGGATAAACTGGGCATACCGTTTATTGGCTATACATACTTACTACGGTATGAGATTAAATGTTTATGTGTTCCCTTATCGTACTTCTTTACCAGAGGAGAACTGTGACTGAGGTTGCTGAGGTCGTTTCATCGATACTGAGGTCAGATTAGCGTTAGCCTTTAGAGCCACATCTAAGTGAATTGTTCCATATAGAGAAATGCCAATGCGCCTGATTAACAAAACTGTTGGTGGCATCAGCGCTGTGAGCAGAGTGGTGGAGGAAATGTATGCATCGATTGAACTCGGCCCTGGTCGGCATCCAAAGCTCTGCAAGACACAGTTCTATAGTTTCTTCAACATCACTCATTGGCTCATTGTCTGATGAGTTCTTGAAGATGTCGCCTGTTTAAACCACACTATCTCATCAGTGTGGTCATTATGTTGAATACATATCGGCTCTGTTTACTGGAAGTTAATCAGACATGGTTTTATTTAGAAAATATATATGAACCTACTAAATATATTAGTAGGTTCATTCATTTGCAGATGAATCTACTAATAAAAATCAACCTGGAAATAAAACAATAGGAACATTATAATCTGCGAAGCTCAACAAATGTGCTGTTTCTAATGTGTATTTGTTCCGAGGTGTGCCACAAAAACACTTGGCAATCATAGCAACCCATTGGGTTGCACATAATCTGAAGTGCGTTTGTGTTGACCTGCCCTGTCTCTAAAGTGCCTGGCACAGTGTGATACAAACAATGAGCCTGAAAGCCTGAGGACCTCCCATAAACCCAGAGGAATAGAGTTCTTTTCGATGAAATGTCTTTTCTGATTGCTGTGTTGCAGCAAACCTGAGTCTGCACCAGGAGCTGGAGCAACTGGTGGCCAATTTCCTTGGAGTGGAGTCCTCCATGACCTTTGGAATGGGCTTTGCTACTAACTCAATGAACATCCCTGCACTTGTTGGGAAGGTATTATACATCAACACAGCAAACAGGGAACAGCCAAACACCACACATACAGTAGATAAAGGGAATAAATGCAAATTAATGTAATTGGGTTTTGTTCTGATCTGTGGATTTGCCCTAAAGTATTACAAGTCAAGTAATATATGCTAGACCCTCCCCACATATATTATAATCGTAATGAAGCATTATAGTGACCAGAGGAACAGAGCATTGTTCAAGGCACATAGATGAGAAGAGCTGTTCTCCAGGGTATGATTACCCATACTTTGGCCCGTCATCACTCCACTCTGACTCAGACCACCGCTGGTTACTCAGGGCAACACACAGCATTACTGTTTCTGATTAAACCGGACATGGGTGGTCCACTGTCCGGCGATGACACTGGGGCGTGTTATGAGACAGAGCCTCGGGGCAGCAGTGGAGCCCAAAGTGGTCCCGTCAGAGACTGGGATCAAGAGCCCTACCACCCTGCCTCCAGGGATGTGGTACCCAGGCAGCCGCAGCAGTCTAAAGCAAATGAGAGTGACAGCTGCTGCTGCTGGAGCAGGAGAGAGGGATTTGTCACTTAGACAGGGTCAGCTCATGCTCACAAAGACAGTCAAACGCTTAGAGCTTCACTGAAAAATATGGTAATGTTAGTGAAATTTTCCTGGAATTACTGAATAAATTTGCATACAAAATGTCTTTGCACATAAGTGCAAGACTTACTGGACATACTAATTAGACATTGGACTATTTACCAACTTTATGTGGCGTACAGTGCATCTGTGGCATTACCACAGAGGCCTCAGCAAATTTCACCCGTTTCCTTTTTGACAGTAATAGAAAAAACTAGAGAAGATCTAACGATGCCTCACATCACCTCCAAAATGTTATAATTTGTTCCTTATCCCTTAATATTTGCTGAAAATTTTACTTTTGAATAATGCTGTCTTACTAAACTAACTAACAAACCCAGGTGAAAACATAGCCCTCTGGCAGCAGTAATAAGCTGTTCCAAACAAATGCGACCAAGACAAAATAGTAACTCAGATTCAGATTCAGTTTATTTGCCATTTGCAGTAAAAAAAAAAAATCACATAGGAATACATTGGCAAAAAGTCTCCAGTGTGCACAGACAAATACAGACATAAAACAACAATAAAAGACAGAAATAAAACAGTAAACAAATGTCACTGTGAAATCGATTGACTAAAACAGTTTCAAAACAAGTGCAAATCATTAAAGTGCTCTGTTCACACTGATAACAGCTTGTGGATAAAAACTGTTAGCGTAACGAGATGTCCTGCATCTCAGAGAGCGATATCTTCTGCCAGAGGGAAGAAGCTGGAACATGGCTTTTCCAGGGTGGCCAGAAGAGTCATTGACAATCCTAAGAGCTTTGTTTAAAATTCTGGATTTATAAAGAACCTCCAGAACAGGAAGCTCACAGCCCACAGTCCTCTTTGCAGAGCGGAGCACCTTGTTTAAAGATCTCTTTTCTTTATCTGTGATGTTTCCAAACCACACAGACACAGAACCAACAAGTAAACTCTCAATGGTGCAGCGATAAAAGTTAAGCAGAATCTTGGAGTTAGTGGTGAATTCTCTAAGTTTACGCAGAAAGTAGAGACGCTGACGAGCTTTCTTAACGACTCGGTCAGTGTTTTTAACCCATTTCAGGTCGTTAGACAGAGTTTAACCCAGAAACTTGCACTCCTCTACGATCTGCACCAGGGAGTTGTCGATTACGACAGGCAAATGAGAACTATTGCGACTGAAGTTCACATGTTTTCGATGCGTTCAACTGGAGGTTGTTAGTTTTACTCCACTGAACGACATTTTGTATCTCTGCTCTATAAGAGGATTCATCATTGTCACTGATGAGACCGATGATGGTGGTGTCATCAGCATATTTGATGATCAAGTTTGAGTCAGAGGAGGACACACAATCGTGAGGGTACAAAGTAAAAAGCAAAAGACTCAAAATACATCCCTGAGGAGAACCAGTGCTCACAGAAACAACATCAGAAAAACAGTCTTTGATTTTCACTCTCTGAGATCTGTCAGTTAAAAAGCTAAAAATCCATTTACACATGGCAACACTTAAACCGAGAGACATGAGCTTTTCCATCAGTTTACCTTGGACAAGGCAGTGTTTGTGTGTTTAACTGTTTGTGATTTTAGGGCTGTCTGATCCTGAGTGATGAGCTTAACCACACATCGCTCATATTAGGAGCCAGACTGTCTGGAGCAACTATACGGGTGTTCAAACACAACAGTGAGTCTGCTTTTATCTAAAATCTACTTCAGTTTTGTGTCATAGAATAAAAACACAATTAAATTGAACAAAGGTGTAGAAACTTGGAAGTGAGCACTGTTCTGCTGCTCCTCTCGTGGTTGTGTGTGGAACAGGATTTGCCTGTTCTACTTGCCTGTTCTACTTTATATTCTGTGTTTAGACCAGCAAATCTAGAAACTTTAATGAAGTGGGTTCAGTTTACAGTCACGAATTTGTTGTCTCCATCTGCCGCACAGCAGCAAACCAGGCTATACTTCTGTGGCTGTGTTATAGTACTCTTACTGCAGATACTATATTGTTAAGCTTTAGTTACTAGCTAACATTCAAAGTGTTTCTTTGCGAGGAGCTTGTGCTTGTACTCTTTTTGGAGCAAGACAAATGAGGCAGTCCTCTGGCAGCAAATGTCTCCTGACAGGTACAAGCACAGTCAGTTAAGGGTTTTCCAAGCAGGTCCCACAGGCCTGAGTGAGAGAGGAGCCCTGAGGCACCTGGCCTGACCCCTCCCTCTCCACGCTGACACTTACCACTGAACAGAGAGCAAATATTGACTAGGAGGGTTACATTAATTGAGTCACATCAATGAATCATGTGAAGATTAAACAATCTCAAGTTTCATTAGGAGATTTTTTTAATGGACTATGACATAAAATGTTTGTCTTGTCTTTTTTAATAAAAAAACGAATTCAATGGAATACAATTTCTACCATTTTTACTTCCAAATTATAAGAGAATGTTAGGGTTTTTTTTTACCTGTATGTGTAGTCATTTTATCAAATGTGTAACTGCTTTTAGTCTTGTCTTTAGACCCGTTGATCTTTAGTGATGTTCCAATCAGTCATCTGTGGGAGATTTCCGATTGTTGACAGTTTAATGCATTGATTGTGTCAGGTTTAAGTAATTCCTGGTCCTGCATGAAGCTAATCAACACTGCCATCTGCTGGTAAATAATAAACTTGTAAAACATAGAGTGTTTTCACTGCTACCACCCAGTTTAAAATAATACAATTATTTTATACAAATGTTTACTTCATCTGGTTCCTTAATTCCATTGGTGAATTCCACATCCTCTGTTTGAAAGGTGAAAGGTGTTTCAAGCTGATAAAGTTGTACTCTGAGACAAGACCTGCCAAAATAATTACTGTTTGCATTCTCTGTATTGCTACTGCTAATATTGACATATTCGCACACCGCTGATAAAGGGTTATTTAGGTGAAGAAAAAAATAGGTTATGTTTTCTTATAATCAATTCCTCTTTCAGACATGCACAGTTTGGAGAAGATGCTTCGAGAGGCAATTTGTTCAGGGCAACCTCGGACCCACAGACCCTGGAAGAAGATCTTAATCATGGTAGAAGGCATCTACAGGTCAGTGCTCATTATCCCACACCACTGCTGCTACTTCCAGGCCAGTCCAACACTCCGCGATAGTCACTTTGTGTGTCCACTGCCTGGGGAAACATAATCATTTGTAACCTGGGCAAAGCGAGCAGTTGTATTCAGCGGTGCTCATAATGGGCTTCGTTTCATTGCTTCCATCTTTGCCATTTGATTATTGTGCAAGTGGCTAATAGTCGGGTCTGATTTGATGAAAGCGTTGGAGGGAAAGGTATCATGTGTGTGTCACGTTAGCGAGCTCTTTGGAGTCACGCTGACCTCCTCCATCTGCTCATTAGCTCCAAATCAAGCAAGGCCCAATGAAGCCATAGAGATTGACTTGGTTACACCCCCAGCTCATCATCAGCTACTTTCATTTCACGCTCTAAATTTCAACTTTCAATACTTAAAAGTACACGTCATAAGGTCAGAGTTACTTGTGCAGTAGACTTCACCAAACTGTTTTATATTCCTCCATATAAAGAATAAAACCTTGAAGACAGCCATCAGGGAGCATTAATGTAATGATTAGTTCCACACCAGTTCCGGTCATCTGAGAGACAGCTTAATTGCACACCATTAAAGCGGCTTTATCAGGCAATAATGGCAGGCATTAGAGACATGTGGCCACCGTAGAGCTCTGGAAGAACCAATGCTGCCTCTCTGGCGCTGCTCACATCAAAAGGCTGGATAAAGAGTAAGCATGCTTTAGTTATGTCCCTGGCTCAGCCTTTGATGTCCACACAGGTCCCGGTGAAATCCTGCCGTCTGTCGTCCTGGGCCGTAGCAGGTCTGGGATTGCTCAATTCCCCAGTCGTGTACAACTGGCTCATATGTCTGTTTGTAGCCTTAAAAGGGCTGCTTGGGGAGAGGGGAGGATGGGGCTATGGGAGACAAGGTTCATGTAGACAGCAAATTTTAGCTTTTATAATCTTTTACATACTTATTATCGATTCAAGTCATCTCTTTGATGTTCTCCAGGAGCATCACCAGAGCATTGTTTTTATTATTCCATTCCGGATCTATACAACTATAGATTAAAAAAATAACCGAACCCTATAAAAATAATCAAGATGAATTGTCTGACTGCAATTATGTAGATTATATGATATCCTTTACAAACAACTAAATATCTTGTTGCATGTTTTTTTAATTCTGGCTGTTATTGTGTTTGAACTTTTAACAAATCCAAGGATTACTTCAAATGTCATGAAAAGGCTGAAAGAGCCTAAAGAAGGTTTTTATCTTTAGTGTATTTTGACTGTTTTATCCGCTAATAGAAAAGTCCAAATGCTTTTCATTTAATAAAAAAATAATTATAATGATAATTATTATCCTAGCTTCATAACAGAAATCGCAAATCATTTTGAAATCGGAAATCAATGTTGCATAGATATTTCTTTAAACCGTGCCCTCGACTAGTAACTTATTTGTGGATAAATGTTTGTTTCTGGGTCTTGTCTTCAGCATGGAGGGCTCGGTGGTGCGCCTCTCAGAGATCATCGCCTTAAAGAAGAAGTACAGAGCTTACCTGTACTTGGACGAGGCTCACAGCATCGGAGCAGTGGGGCCGACGGGCAGAGGGGTCACCGAACTCTTCAACGTCAACACTGCAGACGTGGACATCATGATGGGCACTTTCACCAAGAGCTTTGGGGCCTGCGGAGGCTACATCGCAGGCAACAAGGTCGGTCACAATCACTCTCTTCTCTAATGCTTCCATAAAAGGAGCATTTGTGTAGTCGTACTTGTAGAAGTATTTCAAACTATCCATCCATCCATCCATTTTCTTCCCCTTAATCCATTTCTGGGTCAGGGGGGTGGCAGTCAGAGCTGCACCCAGTACACTTAGCACCAGCCCCTCACTGATCCTCCTGCAGGTGGTGAGTCCACAGGAGCTGAGATCTTTCAGTTGGGGCTTTGGGCAAAGTAGGGTTAAGTGTCTTGCCCAAGGACACAACGACAGCAGTCATCAGTGGGAGTCGTGAAGTAGGTCTTATGGCGGGCTTGAACCCACGACCTTCAGGCCCAAAGGCCAATGCTCTACCAACTGAGCTACTGTCGCCCCTATTTCAAACTAATGTGGACAAAAGACAAAACCATAAACAGGATAGAAAATAAACAGCATTACTCAGTTTAAAAAGGGGTTGGACGAAGCAGCAGCTTAGGGTTAGAACGACAACATGGTTTAAAACGAGCTAGTTTAGGCTTGTTGATTATTCTTACATTGCAGCTTCCTTTTTATGATTATGTAAAAATATAAAAGCCAAATGTTATAGTTACAATTTGAAAACCTAGTATAGTAGCTGGAGTTATTTCTGTCCTGTTATTTCTGAAACCTAAATTGCTTTTGTTCTGCTGTAATTCAGGAGATTTATCTGTTTTGGCTGCAAAATAAATTCTATTTAATGAAATTTTACGACTGGATTCTGTGGATATACAGTAGTTACTTCATGGTTCTATCTACACACATTTGTATCAGAGCCTTGTGTCAAAGTCATTTATGAGAGATGTGACGGTTTTTCTTTTTCCATTCGTTGTGGAAATTAAGCTGTGAAACTCAAGTCAGGCAGGCTTTGTATCAAACAGCAGTTTTTATACATAGTTTTTACACCCTTGAACCTTTCAACATTTTGCCACATTTCAGGCTTCAAACATAAAAGATATAAGATTTTAATGTTTTGTCATGAATCAACAACAAGTGGGACACAATCGTGAAGTGGAACGAAATTTATTGGATAATTTAAACTTTTTTAACAAATAAAAAACTGAAAAGTGGGGCGTGCAATATTATTCGGCCCCTTTACTTTCAGTGCAGCAAACTCACTCCAGAAGTTCAGTGAGGATCTTTGAATGATCCAATGTTGTCCTAAATGACTGATGATGATAAATAGAATGCACCTGTGTGTAATCAAGTCTCCGTATTTTATTTTTATTTATTTATTTATTTATTTGACAGGGACAGTACAAAAAAACATTGTCACCCACAGGTAACCGATGTGAAGTACACAAGGCTTCTAGCCAAAGGCTAATTTGCAGCCCCCGTCCTTGGTTAGGCTTTTGGAGAAAGCGAAGAAACAAGTTTTAAAAAAAGGGGAGAAAAGAACAACCACACATCAATAAAAATAACTAACCCCATTTGTCCATACTACATTCAGGTTTAGTGCTCACACTTCTGATTTTCCTTAAGCCACTTTTTCAGTTTAGTGGAGAAAAGTCTAGTGTCCGACTGTGACTTCAGCTCCAGTGGCAAAGAGTTCCACAGATGTGAGGCCTTCACTGAGAATGCAGACTGACCCAGAGTCGTCCGGCACCTTCTCACTCTGCAGCTCCCACTGACTGCAGCTCGAGTCTGCACACCCTCACTGCTGCACCTTTGGATGTTTTTACACATTATATGGTATACATGCACCTGCTCTTTGATAGTCTCAGGGTTCTGTTTAAAGCACAGAGAGAACCATGAAGATAAAGGAACACACCAGGCAGGTCCGAGATACTGTTGTGGAGAAGTTTAAAGCCGGATTTGGATACAAAAAGATTTCCCAAGCTTTAAACATCTCAAGGAGCACTGTGCAAGCAATTATATTGAAATGGAAGGAGTATCAGACCACTGCAAATCTACCAAGACCCGGCCGTCCCTCCAAACTTTCATCTCAAACAAGGAGAAGACTGATCAGAGATGCAGCCAAGAGGCCCATGATCGCTCTGAATGAACTGCAGATAACTACAGCTGAGGTGGGAGAGTCTGTCCATAGGACAACAATCAGTCGTGCACTGCACAAATCTGGCCTTTATGGAAGAGTGGCAAGAAGAAAGCCATTTCTCAAAGATATCCAATAAAAGTCTCTTAAAGTTTGCCACAAGCCACCTGGGAGACACACCAAACATGTGGAAGAAGGTGCTCTGGTCAGATGAAACCAAAATCGAACTTTTTGGCCACAATGCAAAACGTGCTCATCACCCTGAACACACCATCCCCACCTCAGCTGTAGTTATCTGCAGTTCATCCAGAGTGATAATGGGCCTCTTGGCTGCATCTCTGATCAGTCTTCTCCTTGTTTGAGATAAAAGTTTGGAGGGACGGCCGGGTCTTGGTAGATTTGCAGTGGTCTGATACTCCTTCCATTTCAATATAATTGCTTGCACAGTGCTCCTTGAGACGTTTAAAGCTTGGGAAATCTTTTTGTATCCAAATCCGGCTTTAAACTTCTCCACAACAGTATCTCGGACCTGCCTGGTGTGTTCCTTTGTCTTCATGGTTCTCTCTGCGCTTTCAACAGAACCCTGAGACTATCAAAGAGCAGGTGCATTTATACGGAGACTTGATTACACACAGGAGCATTCTATTTATCATCATCAGTCATTTAGGACAACATTGGATCATTCAAAGATCCTCACTGAACTTCTGGACTGAGTTTGCTGCACTGAAAGTAAAGGGGCCGAATAATATTGCACGCCCCACTTTTCAGTTTTTTATTTGTTAAAAAAGTTTAAATTATCCAACAAATTTCGTTCCACTTCACGATTGTGTCCCACTTGTTGTTGATTCATGATGAAAAATAAATTTTTTATATCTTTATGTTTGAAGCCTAAAATATGGCGAAATGTTGAAAGGTTCAAGGGGGCCGAATACTTTCGCAAGGCACTGTACGTCTACTCTGAGTCTGGACTAAACTCTAAGACATAGTTGTATGTTTAAGTTTCTTTTTTTACCTTTATCCAGGCCATGAGAGATTAAAAAATGGATATAAACAGTGAGTTGAGTTCTATCAGAATCAGAATCATTTTTATTGCCACGTAAGTAACAGGAAGTCACAGACTTGGAAATTGCTTTGGCTCAGTGCAACAGTCAGAAAGAGATCATAAAAAATAAAGAATAAAAAACACTTCTAAGTAATACATTTAAATTTAAAATAGAGTTATAATTACTACTTACAATATACAAGTGCACATGGTGCACACAATGTAAGGTGACAATATAGGTGGTATATCGGGCTGCACTAAAATTATTTAGACAGTTTTGACTTCTATGCAACAGGCATGTTTATACAAGGATGTGTTATTGGATAAATCAGTGAGGGGCTGGTGCTCTGTGAACTGGGTGCAGCTCTGACTGCCACCCCCCTGACCCAGAAACGGATTAAGGTGAAGAAAATGGATGGATGATGGTGTTGTTGGATAAATTGCTATGGGTTAAATTGGTCAAAAGGCCCCTGTAGACCTGAAAATAAAGTGTTTTTTGTTGAAAAAGAGAGAACAGGCAAGCATCACTTGCAAATTATACATTTAAAATGAAAACTCTTTTGTGGGGACTATTCCAGTTTTTTGTTTTTTTTTCGTGAGGATTTTTGCAATACCCAGCCCTGTATTTGTCGTCTTCATGCAAGTAAGCTTACATAAAAGTACTATAAATAAACTACCCCCACCCTTGTTAACCTCAAGGCAACTATGGCTCTGGCGGCTCAAGACCACGTCTGGAGGATAGGGCTGTAACAAGTTAAATCAATAAATCACAACTAATCAATTATCAAAATAATTTTTAATTACAGCCCTAGTGGAGGATTAATGAAAAAGGTGCTCTATAAAATGCTATATTAATGTGAATGTCTAGACAATTAGAATGCACACATATTCCAATATGGTTTTAAACTGCATCTGGGTCTTGTCTGAGAACTTTATAACAGTTTCAGTGTGAAGGCAGTATATACTGTATGGCAGCAAATGGTTTCCTTCTGCTTTCACTGGGTTAGGGTTAGGGTTGTTATTAAGTTTGCTGGGTAATATAATGTTTTGTTTTGACATAACAGTTATTTTTAATTGAAGTTTTTGAAACAATCGAATCGGAAATCGAGGTCCTTTGGGAGGGTCCGTATACCTGCAACACTTTTGGAACCTGAGCAGCTGAATTTGTTTCCTTCTTAACTAGTGCTACTCTGTCACACCCTGTTCCTCATGTGTCCAACAAATGTTTCCCAGGTTGTGACTTTGCGCCTTTGTAATTTCTCTTTACTCCATTAAAAAGTACACTTTAGTACATAACCGCACCGGTTTTGTTGCACTTGATTAAAAAGCATCAGAGGAAACAGCCATGTTGTTTGAATTAAGTTTTCGGAGAGGAGCCCTTCCTGCCGTGGCCTGATGTTGGCTCAGCCCCACTTTGCGTAATAAGAAGGTAAAGTTGGCAAAGGTCCAGCCCCTTCTTGTGGCAGGCGTCGGAACTGCGCTCCAGATTTAACAGGATGCCCTTTAACAAGCATGATAATGTTTGAAGTGCCAACGCTGTGCCTGGTTTGACAGCTGGCTGTAGTAAACTTGAGCGAGGAGCATGCAACAGAAGGGAGAGAGAGCCCTTGGAATTGACGTATTTGTTGTTGTGGTGAAATCCCTCAAATCCGACACTAAGTGGTATCGGGTTGACCGACAAAAGGCTGCGCAGATGTGTTCTGGAAAACAGTCATGTTATAGCTGTTTTATGGGAGTACCAAAAATAAATACACTTCAAGCTCCTTCTAATTCACTGCAAGTCTGTATGAAGCTGTGCACACTCGACCAATTCAAAAAGGAAGGAGGACATTTAAAAGAGCTTATTAAATACATCTGCTGAGAAGAGGAGCGTGTGAGTGTGTGTCTGTGGCACACTGGACATGTTGTGTTACATCCGACACTGTCACTGCATTCCCCAACCTCAGGACACATTTGAAGAAGTCTTACTTCACACTGTCTTTGCTTTTGTTTCACCAAACACACAAAACACAGTAAGCAAACACAAAATCAAGAAACAGGGAAAAAGTATTATGTGTTTTATTAAGTGTTTTATTGGAAATATGTTTTAATCCACTCATCAAAGTTTATTTTAACCACTTTTTTTTCCTTTTATTGATATTCATTTTCAAACACAAGATCACATAAACAGGACAACAAAAACCAAACGAAATACAAACACAATCTGCACAAAACGGTAATATAAAATGCACTGTGAAACTTTTCGAATGTGGTGTCTGCGACTGTAACTTTGCTGAGTGACGTCACATGAAGTCACATGTAGATTAAGGTGGAATAGACAATACTCAAAAAGCACTTGTAGAGTGCAAACCTCCGCCAAAAGTTCAAAAAAATATAATGAATTTGATCTGAATCACCGACCTGAATCGTTTCTCTCCCGCTGGCAGTGGCAATAATACTGAAAAAGGCGGTCCTCCACCACAAACATCACATAATATGATGGATAAAACTCTTTTACGTAGATCGAATTGAAATGTCTTTTTAAATAGGCTTGACTATATTATTGTTTATCCTCAGTTATATTGTAAATTGAATCCCAGTCGCCGTTATTGATTACCAAATTATGACTTCCCCATTTCTGTCATATTCCCTGAACCAGTTTTTCTCTGTCACTCCAAAACTCCTGCGGGCCCTAACGCGCAACAAATCCTTCACCCTAAATGAAAACAGATGTCAGGTTGTTTCAGGGTTCTTGTCCTATGTTTGAGCGCTTGCCTCGGAATCCCTTCAGCCGCAGATGGTGGAGAGTGGAAGCAGTGGCCAGACAACATCTCCGGGTGCATGTCATCGCCTCACACCCGCTGGTCCACCACAGATCCACAGAGGAGCCACAACCTCAGCCCACTCACACTCTTCTCCAGCGACCAGCGCCACAGACAACCACCGCTGTCCTATCAATCCACCGCTGACATTTAGGAGTAACGAGCGTGACAGTCCACTCTCTGGCTTGTTTCAGACTCACTTCCCTGTTGTACTCAGAGTCTGGCTGCTTTAGAGAGAGGAACTGGAGACTGTCCATTGCTGTATGCAAATGAGGACACAAAGCCAGGGAAATCAGGGTGGTTAATTAAGTCTCAGGTGAGGTGAGGGGTGTGATCGCTCTCTAGTGGTTGATTAGAAAACTACATGTTCCACTAATTCTCTCTCATACAGTATTTGTTTCCTTGCACTGGTGTTCATTCACCCAAGGGCAGTGTGCATGAAGAATGCAAAAAAATCACTCCCTAAAAGTATATTATTTTGTTGAATTTATTGTTTTATGTGATATGAAATCATATTTAAACATATATTAGTAATACCAATATGTGCACACATAGTGGAAGCAGCAGGCTCTAAAGCAGGGATGTCATAACCTTGCCTGCAAGCTGAATTCTCGCGGTATTTGTGAGTTCACTAACACTCGAGAATACATCTTGTCCCGCTCCCGCCAACCCTTTTCGGGTAGAACATCTAGGTGTTCAAGCCAATCACGCGCCAGTCTGGGGGTTTAGGGCGGGATATCCAGGTTTGACGAAAGCAAGAAGTGCCGGGCCGAAGCAAAACAAACATGGCTACGCTGGAGGACGGACGCGTAGCTGAGGCTATCAAGTCAGTTTTAGCAGAATCTCCAATTTCTTTTTTGAAAGATGAACAGCGAGAGGCGCTTTGTGCACGCCGATGACGACATAATGTTACCGGGATTGGTTTAAGTCAAACCTTGGTAGGCGGGCACACAGCGTCACTTCGCCCAATCAGGTTGAAGTATTCTGCTGCTTATCCCTCCTTTCCCCGAAAGGATTCTCCTGCAGAAGTTCCAGATTGATATTGTGGAGAATGCATTAGAGTTCTACACAATCATCAATCTGGCTCTTGCCAGGTTAGGGATGTCAAAGTCAAAGCCAAAAAAACAAATTTGCTTCAAGCTGAGGGCCGGGCTGATTCAATGTTTATTAAAACATGTAAAAATGTTTGCATAGAATCAACACCTAACACAATGTACCATATTTTAATTCAATGATTAAATGAATTATCCAATATTTTTGTATGGCTCTGTCGGTAATTTCAAGTGAAACCAACAGGCTCACCGACAAAAACAGACTTCCTTTAAAGAGAAAACACATGTCCTGAACATTAAATTAATAATCCAATATTTGTTATGGCTCTGTGCGGGCCGGTTCTAATACTAATCAAAGATCATCCCAGGGGCCAGGATAATGACTTTGCAGGCCGGATCTGGCCCCCGGGCCTTGACTTTGACACCCATGCTCTAAAGGCAGTGATGATCCCGGACATTTAAGGACATGTTGGAGGGACTGTCTCTCAGCAGGGAAGGTCCCCCCCCCAAACCGGCAACGAAAGAAGCGGAAGAAAATGGATGGATGGTTGGATGGACATTAGTCATTCCATTACTCTGTGGACCAATGGCCCCTATGTGTTTGTTATTATTGCATTTCCCGTGTTCGGACTGTTTGATTATCTGATCTGTTATTGGCGAATCGACAACATTGTAAAGTCCACCATGACTATACAATACAGACAAAATTATTGGAAAATACACTACGTGATGTTCCTTGATAAAGGATTAACATTCAGATGTTATGACCAAAACAAGGTGGAATAGAATATTGAATGTTTTATTATTTTTTTGTGACAGGTGCTTGTGGACCACCTGCGCAGACATTCCCACAGCGCGGTCTACGCCACTGCCATGTCCCCCCCTGTCACTGAGCAGGTTATCCGGGCCATGAAATGCATAATGGGCAAAGACGGGGGCAACGAAGGTTTGTATCGCTTCTGCACTTTGTATAAAAGTCACTTCCAATCCTCAGCCTTGCACACCACACGGCCATCAAACCTTATGTCCGATAAATATTATATCCCCAGCTTATGAAACGTTTTACACCTTGCTATAACGTTTATGGAAACAAAAGCAAACGGTCGGTCAGGCAGCTTCAATGTTAACATAGAGGTAAGTACTAAACCTGCAGGGGTAGACAAACAGCTGCTAGGACTGAAAATGTGGGAGCGATTACAGAGAGCGAGAGAGGAGGGGACACAGGACTGAACATGGAGGAAATCACTCTCATGTGTGGCTGGTGAGGAAGGCCCTACCTCTGAGAAGTCTCCGCTTTAATGACATCGGACATAAAGACGACTCCACACAAGCCGCAGAGCCTCCAGAGAGATGTTCATGCACTTGTTGGGAGAGTTATCCGTATTTGAATCCATTAGGTTGGATTTAGGGCCAAGCACTGGCTTTTTGGGAATGTCTTATTTGCTCATTATTGTAGACTATTGTAGATGGATGAGTCTTTTTGCTTCTTACTTTTGCTCATATCACAAGTTTAGGATTAGCTTGAGGTTTATATTATGTATCAGTACGGATTTAGCCTCACTAAATTTGTACACAAAGTAATTAACTTTGTATTCCGAATCAGAATCAGAATCCTTTTATTGCCATGTGAGTAACAAGAAGTCACAAACTAGGAAATTGCTATGGCTCTCGGTGAAAAAGCAGATAAAAAATCAAAAAGGCATCCATACTGTAAATACAGCTCTATATGAATTACAAAACCAGATATATGTATTGCAAAACCAGATATATAAAATAATAAACATATCCCTAAATGTACCCAAGTAAACACTTTCTATGCAGCGATCTGGGTTACCACATATTTCCCTACATTTTTCTTGTTTTTTTTTTCTTTTGTTTATTTCCGCTATTGATTTATAGTATAGTTTATTTATAAAGCGCATTTTTTACAGGCCCATTTTTTAACCCATTTTTACCACTCAAAGCGCTTTACAATGACACAAACCTGATGATGTCGCACATTTTAAGGAAGACTTGCAGATTCCAGCTGGATAAAGGTTTGTCTCAACTCTTAGCAGCAAAGTAAATCCATAACCAATATGTTGCCAATAGTGCCGTGCTGTGCTGTTGAAAGTATCAATATACATGGATCAAGCCCAAAGATTTATTATGTGACGTATGCGTTTGGAGAAGTGAAACTCGCTCTCCAAAGACCATTCCCATCTCTCTTTTAGTTTTATGTCGGCATACGTAAGAGGTGACATTGAGACTACACATTCTAATGATTTGGAGCTATGTTTGTCATAGTAAAAACTCAGTAAGTGCTCCCTAAAACACCTCAGAGAGACTTGTGAGGTAATGCGCCATAGTTGAAGTGATGTATTGAGGCTTAGAGGCAATATTTGGCTGCACAAATCACAGTTAAAGACGTAATAGAGGAAACGGAATTTCCACCAAACAACGCTAGACATAATAGCACTGGCTAATATTTACATTATATGAGAAGATAGTTTGTCATTGTCAAAGTGATTGTGATTTCCTGTGAAAAGTCGTGAATTTGCTGTTTTATGCTGTGGATAAGTGGGTAATGACTACAGCATGTACACTCGGATATGTTATGGTTGATGGAAATTGCTGTTTAAAGACGAGATGAGTAACTTTCTCATCTGGCCCTCAACCACACATGCTTCGTGTCTGACGTAGCCTTGTTAAATTGCTGTTATGGAGAAATCAGTCTTGACCTGTCTTATCAGGCGAGGGGAACACCGCAAATACATTGGCTTTTCACAACATAGGTTCCCATGTCCATCATAACACCAGGGAAACGTACAGCGACAGGAAATGAGAGAGCTTGTTTTGCTGTACTCTTGTCCGTCCCTAGTTGCTCCCATGTTGAATTTCACACTCAAAAGTGAACTGGTGGCTCAAGCACAGACACAGGCAAACGCTCTGATAGACAGGAGCATCCACGCATTCTCACCTACACATACAATTCCAGCGTCTGCCAGCAGTTTTTTTGACCCAAATGCCCTTTTTCACGATTTATAAAATGGGCCTGTTAGACAAAGGCTAGAAAATGTTTTGTTTTCTTCTTGTGTTGAGACACAGGGGCGCAGTGGTTCTCTCTTTTTTGCGTCACAACAAGAAGGTCCTGGGTTATAATATAGGTTTGCCTTTATGTGTCAAGCATATTATGTGTGATTTAAGACATGTATTTACACCAGGGCAAGTGTCTCTCGGGACACTGGGTTCAGCTCTACCTCTGGACAGGGCCCTTCTGTGTGGAATGTTCTCCCTGTGTGCGTGTAGGTCTCCTCCGGGTGCTCCGGCTTCCCGTATTGCTAAAACATGAACAATTCGGAATGAATGTAATGAGAGTGTGAGTGGGGAGTGGATGGGAATTACCGGTACACCAAAATGGCTTCATGTGACCTTGGTCTGTAAAATGCGCTATACAAACAAGAATACTTACTTACTTTCTTACTTTCTTGAGATAAGTTGAATTAAAGTTCTCTCTTACCCCGCTTTCGACAGCTTTGCCAATCTGTTCACAGGTAATGACTGGGAAACAGCACAGCATTCCCAGACTGGACCATGCCAAATGGGGTTGAGAAACAATTAGGATGCCTGCCTTAATTCGAGCCATAACGTAGTTTTGTACTGAACTTAAAGCTCAAAAAGTGCTTTGTGTCAATTTTGTGAATGTATATTTTTTGCAGCCTGCAAATTGCTTGGCATAGGGCTGAATGAATGTCGTTACAAGACCAAGACTGAGCCATCTGCTGCTACAGCTGAGTTGTAATCATGAGTAAGTTTATAGTGAAAGGCTGGTCCAGATGGGGGTAGCAGTCAAATAAGAAAGCTTTCCAAACACAATCCACTGGTCATTTACTTACACGGACAGATGGGGACAGCGTTGGCATCCTTGTTTACTAAAAACTGGGGTCCTTTCGCTCGTTTGTCTTACGTCTCGGTTGGATTGCAGGGATAAGACGCGTGCGCCAACTGGCAGAAAACACCCGGTACTTCAGAGCCAGACTGAAGAAGATGGGCTTCATCATCTATGGAAACGATGACTCGCCTGTAGTGCCCATCCTGCTCTACATGCCCGCCAAAGTGGTGTAAGTACTCTTGTCATAGGATCAGCCACACTGCTACCGCTAGTGCAAAAGTGCACTGTGTATTAGTCGAAATAAGTTATTGAACACATGCTTTTGGATTTATGTTCTGCAATTCACTTTTAAGACACAATTTCTTTGGTAACAGAATAGTGAATAGTGAATAGTAAGCAAAAAAAAAATCACTTTTCAGTATTTCTTTGTTGTTTGTCCCAACAAAAAGAGTTGTTCAAAAGGAAACCGTGAATAGATCAGACGCAACATGCTGTCTTTATTTTATTAGAAAACATATGATCTTTTGCACACATACAGAGCCCATCCATCCATTTTCTTCCCCTTAATCCATTTCTGGGTTTGGAAGGGTGGCAGTCAGTGCTGCACCCAGTTCACAGAGCACCAGCCCCTCACTGATCCTCCTGCAGGTGGTGAGTCCACAGGAGCCTTGATCTTTCAGCGGGGGGCTTCAGGCAAAGTGGGGTTAAGTGTCTTGCCCCAAGACACAACAACAGCAGACATCAGTGGGAGTCGTGAAGTAGGTCTTATGATGGGTTCGAACTCACAATCTTCTGGCCCAAAGGCCAATGCTCTACCAACTGAGCCACTGTCGCCCTAACATAAAGAGCCTTGTGTCACTATTTGGGCTGAGTGTGGATTGGCTGAGTGAGTGGTCCTCCCTGAAGTAAAAGCTGATGTAAAGATGTGAAAGAGGCAAAAAAAATACATTTAAAGCCAGGAGTTCATTCTGAGAACCTTATGAGTATGAGCCTTAGATCCAAAGATACAAATCCAACAACTTTGGAAGGCTCAGTAAAACCACTAGGATTTATAATAAAATGATTAGTCCACATTAATGGACAAAAAGGGTAAAATACAAATCAAAATACTACAATTTCCAACTACTCTTATATTCAAAAAGTATGTTGTTTCAAAACTTTGTAAATGTATATCTTATGATAAACCTCCTCGTACACACATATTCGTGATGTGAAATCAACTTACCCATCGAGCACAACAAGGAATTTTCATAACACGTTGCAACAATTACAACACCTCAACTCTTTGTCACAAGTGATTTCGGCCCAGTGGAGCGAGTGTTATTAAAGTGATATGGATGGCTGCCACTTTTCACTCCAAACTTTCCATGAATTGGTTTTTTCACAGATGTGTCTGTAAGCACTTAGGCACATGTAAACACCAGGCTGTTTAAGACGCTCAGGTACAATCAAACCCTTTTCAAAACATGTCCCAGTTACTGCCTGTAAAATGTCAAATTCAAACAGTAATTATAGCTATCAGTCACAATAAAAAGCTTCTGGGTTTGCAGTTGTCTGTGATAAAGAAGATGCAAAAACAATGCAATAAATCTGGACTGGTGCTGGCCAAAACAGCTGCACCACAATAAGCCACATTATGGCTACTACTTCCGCTGCAGACAGCTCCCATTCACTAAATCACTATTAAAATGCAATTTGTGGCTTAGATCAAATATTTTATCCAAAATCATGGCTTTGCTGATGCTCTGTAGGTCAATGGGAACGTCACTGTGGTCGCCCCCAAGAAACTGTATAAAGCATTGATTATGATTGCATAAAATTGAAGCTGTGATTATCTTAGAAAACCAAAAAACCATGTCAATATTTTTCACATTCTTATCATATTTTTGGTGGTGACCTTCAAACTCATAGTAGGAAGATGTGTCAAATATATCAAACAGTCCATCCATCCATCCATTTTCTACCCCTGCTTAATCCATTTCTGGGTCAGGGGGGTGGCAGTCAGAGATGCCACCCAAGTCTCATAGCACCAGCCCCTCACTGACCCTCTGCAGGTGGTGAGTCCACAGGAGGACGGCTGCTCTGTAAGTGCGAGCATAGCCTTGATCTTTCAGCAGGGGCTTCGGGCAAAGTGGGCTTAAGTGTCTTGCCCAAGGACACAATGACAGCAGACATCAGTGGGAGTCGGTGGAGAAGGTGTCGAGGGTGGATCAAACCTACAACCTTTAGGCCTAAAGAACAATGCTCTACCAACTGAGCTACTGTCGCCCCATATCAAACGGTATTAAAACTACCGATTCCGTGACAAATATTATATCACATTTGTGAGCACATAAAATTAGGATTTGATATGTTTACTTTTCTTGATGAGCTATGTTTTAAGTTGCATTGATCTGTTGAATTAATTATACAATGAACTAAACTTGAATTTGAATGTTCTTTGCATATCAAAATAACTTCTGCTTCTGTGTTTGGTTCAGTGCCTTCGCTCGGGAAATGCTAGAGCGGAGAATCGGTGTGGTGGTGGTGGGATTCCCTGCAACTCCGATCACTGAGGCCCGGGCGCGCTTCTGTCTGTCCGCGGCGCACACCAGAGACATGCTGGACCTGGTATGAGACCCTTGTGTTAGCTCATTATGTTAGCCCCTTGTGTTAGCTAATTGGGTTAGCTCATTGCGTTAGCACATCGAGTTAGCTCATTATGTTACTGTATTTGTAGGTAATATTTTCATTGTTTCATGACCAGTAGTATCATTTACTATAAGCAAAAGCTGTATAATGACCATTGTAATAACCAGAGCCTGTGTACAGGTGCTGCATCATATGAATGAAGTGGGGGATCTGTTGTGTCTGAAGTTTTCACGGCGGAATCTCGGTGTCTGTGACGACGTGGAACACGAGACTCACTGAGGTGAGAGACTTGTGGCCCTCCCTCATGGATCTGTGATAACAGCCCCGTTCTGCCCTGGGTCAAAGCACACGTGTGCAAGCGTGTGCAGCTACATGTGTGAAACGCTCAAACGTCATGTGTTCCCTCCTGACTCCATGTTTATGTTTTTGTACAGTTTTAATGTCCGCACAATGTGTGCGCCAGATTTACACTTTTTTATGAAACACATTTTTAAGATGTTCTATTCAAGCTCAGGTTTAACGTAATAATTGTAATTACTATGTGTGATAAAAGATTTGTACAAAACTACAGTAATAGTTTATTTAATAAACAGATGTCACTATTCTTATTTTTGTATTAAGCAAAATGTTTCAATATACTAAATAAAAATATGTTTTGCTTTGTATATTCTTACACAAAAATGAATGATTTATCAGTGATTAATTATTGTGAAGATCTTGTGGTCAATACAAAGACGGATTAAACATTTGAAAATCACTTACTCAATGATAAACATTGATTGCCATTTTGTAGTCATGGGTTGTAGCATGTTTTGTGTCACGTCTTGCTGGTGTCATAAGAGCTGTGGATAAGCATGCAGAGTATGCAGCCACCTGAGCCAACAGAAACCCAACCGGCAATTAGCACCATCTCCAAATTCTAGTGCTGTGGAGTAATGGTTTGATTATCACAGGAAGGATTATACACGGATGATCAATGTTTTTGTTACAAATTGGACCCATCTGCACTTGTTGCTTTCCACACATTGAATTGTTTTTGGGATTTTCAACATGAACAACATTGATGATATCAGATTACAACAATGTGACTTGTTTGAAGAAAAAAATTGAAGAAGCCACAGAGTTTTAGACTTTCATCGCAGGAAAAGTAGAAGCTAGATTTTTTACATGAACTCGTTATGAACATTTTGGACAATATTACAAATGTATAAAATAGAGATTTGAGTCGCATAATGTGTAATATTTGCAGCTATTGCGATAAAGGGACTTCTGATAAAGGGACGATTATTGCTCTAGGAATGTAGACCGTCTGTAATTGTTGTAATAATGTCCCAGACCTTTTATACTGTGTTTCAACATACTTACTGGCAATATTTAGAGCAGCACAGTCATGGATCTGGCGAGACACACATATGTTGGTTAGCCAAACACAAATTTAGGAAAAGTTTAAAGTATATACATGAATGCACATATTCATATCACGTTTTTCTACCTCTATTAGGAACTTTGTGAAAGCTCTTTTGATCAAAAAACCTCATTCACACAGTCCAAAGCACACAGAGGCTGAGCGCATTGGGGGAACAGACAGCTTTGGCATAAAAGAAAAAAAGACATTGTTTAGGGCCACATTCAGTATTACCTTTTGAAATACCACCCACACCTATTTGCTGAATACAGTCATTTTATCCCACATTCTCATTTAGAATTTGCATTTCTATTTAAGGATTAGCCCTCAATTATATCCAGTAAAGACCTGTTTTAAACCTGGCTGTCATTGGTGGTACTTTGTGTGGAATGAAAAAAAAGTGTTATATCAAAAATGCAATTGAATTTTTAAGCTATTGCATCCAACTGATTCACATATCCTTTATAGAAACCACTCAAAAACCTCCTTTTATATGTTATTTTTCATTCAAACCAGAAAGAAAACATTGAAATGCCGATTATTTGTTCGTCTTGTTGAGACTTTCATTATTTTGTTTTATTTATGTATCATTCGGGAGCCATAACCACATTATTGTTTAGGGCCACCAAATGTCTCAAGCAGAGCAGGAGTCAAACCTTAAACCTCTGTATACTTATCAGTCCTAGTATTGGCTGAGTTTATTGAGTTATTCTTTACTGGACTAAAATAATAATCCTAAATCAATGTGTTTTAACCCAGTGTTGAGAAACCAATCATCAGAAAAATACATTTACGACATTGGGTGAAAACATTACCAAGACAAACCAAGAAAAGCAACCAAAAAACTTCTGGAAACTGTTGGAGAACCACTGTTACAGCCTGTTCACTGAATGTGAGTGTTATAATAATATTTGTGAAAAACACTTTTGGGTCGAGGCAGCAGGACGTGGTACAAAGACATTCTCACTTTTGACGGCGAATACAAACTTTTTACTTTTTTGTTGCCAATAATGTACGCGTCAGATCATCCCGTCTCTGTGTAAAAAGCATTGCATTATTTTTGTAAAGTATTTATTTTTATGTGCGCGTAAACAGACTTTTGTCCATGACTTGTATGAAGTTACACGTGGTGGATGCTGACTCGATTTCTTTTGGTTCTCCTCAAGTCAGTGGAGAGCGAAGCTAAACAGAGCAAAGAGAATGTGTGAATAATACAGTTGTACGGAAAGAATTTTAAGAGGCAAATCTATTAATAAATTGTTGAAAAGAAATGGTTTGGTTTGTGATTTGATAGTTGTGCTCACTTGTAGTAAATGAATAGGAAATATATACAACCTGATCATCCAAAAATAATGAATTTCTTTTACCTAAAGCTGGGGCACTCATAATTAAAAAACACACACAAAGGGAACTATGTATTAAAATCCATATTATAACTAGTTTGGTTCTAGGAATAACTTACTCTCTCAGGAGGAAGGTCCCCTAAGTCTAAGCTAAAACCCACGTCTGCGTAGGTTTCCTCCAGGTGCTCCGGTTTCCCCTACCACTAAAATCATGTACAATAGGTCTGGCATGCAACCCCACTCCCATAGCTCTGTGAAGTCAGCTCAGCCCAAAGTGACTCACAGGGCAAAATACAGTATGATATGTGTTAAAATAAGAAGAACACAGGATGTTGTCTGATTTGTTTACAATATTCTGATTTTACAAGACTTTCTGTTGCGACAAATAAATGTCTTTATGGAGAGAGAAAAGTTAGATACCCCAGCTTTAACATCATTTTGCAAAACACTGCAGAGAGGATGTGTAGAAACGGATTTTGAGCTGTGTCTCTAAGCTCCCCAAAAGTGTATGTATCCATATTTAAGTTGTAACATTACCACTATCAATACGTTTTCTTAAATTATTTGACATCCATTCATTTTCAGCTTATTTCCCCATGATAATTGCACTGTTCTCACACGGTTTGGCCTTGTCACTTGGTCATAATTCGGGCCACTTCTGACACATACTGAACAAAGCCCCAGCCTTATAGCGGCCACTGTCAGAGGACATTCATTTGAGGAGCAGAAAAAACACCTTATCTCTCGATTTAACCTCCTGCACCGGCCTTAAGCCAGCGCACAAGACTTCCATTAGTCCCATCAGTGTGTCGCTTTCATGCCCGGGCCTTTTGATGGGATTGGGATATTCCTTCCGAGCACAGAGGAGGCTAAGGTTCCTTGTGATTGCGACTCAAATTCTTCTGTCTTTGGCATGTCTCCTCACATTCCTGTGTAATTTCACATACTCACTGGCTGTATAGTCCGCACCAGCAGCAGCAGCAGCAGCCTCCTCGCTCTCTGCTGCTCTGACCACTGCCTGTGTGCTGAGTGCTGCAGTCATTGTCGCGCAAAGAAAAGCCATTCATACAAGACTCATTCCTGTCTTGTGAAAAAAAAAAATCGGTTCGGGGATGCATGGTGCGACAGGCCCATGCTTGTCTTGTATACACTTCAGGCACTGCACTGTTAACTCCTTCACATGCAGAGCAGACAGTAATGGATTTAACCATAAAAATACAGGAAGGTGCATGAAATCACATATGAAGGAAGGGTTGAGTCCAAACTTTGCCTATATAGACACAGGGATAACATGTAAACTCCACTCAGAGAGGCCCTCTTCCAACCGGGACTCGAACCCAGGACCTTCTTGCTGAGAAACCAGAATGCCATCCACTCAGCCACCGTACCCTAAGTGTCTCCATACACGGTGGTGATAAACTATTGTAGCCACAACTGCCCTGGGGCACACTGACAGAAGCGAGGCAACCAGTATGTGCCATCGGCCCCTCCAACCACCACCAACCATTCACACACACACCAGACTCATTCTAGGCAATGGGGGCGAAGTGTCTTGCTTAAGGACACAACGGCAGTGTGGCACTTTACAGCCGCAGCCACCCCACTGTGTGTCTTGCCAAGGACACAACAACAGCAGACAGGATGGTGAAAGTCTTGAAGTGGGCTCGAACCCACAACCTTCTGGCTCAAAGGCCAATGCGCTACTTACTGAGCTACTGTCGGCCTACATTATGAGATGTATCGGAATGACTGTAGATTAGTGGTAATAGTGAAGTTATTTTGCTTGAACTTATTTCTTGCAAATCATACCTACAATTATTGATTCATGACTCACTATTTCCATATATGGTCTTGTCCCTTGGCCGATGGAAAGGTAATTCAGTTAATACTAGAATTTAGTTCAAAAAAGTGAACTTACTTCTTTTTTAAGTCTTTAAGTTGGAGTAAAAGATTGGATAGGCTGAGATTACTGTAAGTGGCGTGGATTTTTATCTACGCGAAGGGGCCAAAGGGAGATCAAAGAGAGGTGTTTGTCTTCATTAGGCCGTTCCCCTGCTGCACTATCTCCTCTGCAGACAGGCCCCACGTGTTTCCAAGGAAAGCAATAATTATTCTGCTCTCTACAACAACATGGTCCCAAGCCAAGCTATAGCAGCACCAAAGTCACACAAGTGTATAGTGTGATAGAAGAAAGAGGAGGAGGAGGAGGAGGAGGATAGTGAGTGGTCGTCTGTGACCTTGGGTAAATCATTAGTGTCTAACAAGAGTCTAATTGGGAGTTTGGAGGGTGGCGCCTTCATTATTTTTTAGGACTTGAGCTCTTGCCAGTTATAATATTTAGTGCTGAATTGTTATTAGCTAAAGCAGCAGATGTTCAGAGATGCATTCATTCACCTTCAAGATGATGTCAATTCTGATGAAGGGCTTATGTAACTATTTTAGAAAATTATTGTTTTACCCCTTAATGGTTTCCTCACTCATTGGATCACCTTTTGACTCACTATAATGCGTCAGTTTTAAATAGCGCTTTT